TTAATCTGTGTTTGAATCATAGTTTAATGATTTGTTTCTGAATCCTGCCTTGCTTGAAAGTTATTAACTACAATGCTTGAATCAGGCCTAGGCAAATAACTGAGGTTCTTTCTATTACAAAGATAGCAGTGAAATAACAGCAGCCAATAGACCGAACCCTGAAATGGGCTGATTTAAATAATCTAGAAATCAGGAAGAAGTGGTTCAGTTTCAATAAATTACTTGTTTCTCATAAAGTCTTGCCTAACTAAAATTCTCTTTGCTTTCCTCAGCTGTTCTTTGCAGTTTCTCCTTGCGTCCTAGTAAAAGATCTCAGTTGCCTTAGTTTGTTCACATAATAATGATAGCCAGAAAATCCAGATCCATATCTTGGGAATGCATTACATTCTAGAGAATGGGAATGGGTTACAGATGTCTGAAATAAGTAAATGCAGGGATCACAAACATGGTAAATTTTTGAAATCTTTCTCACCGTGCCTATTGCTTGTTGCAGTAAGATATACGCCAAAGTTTCAATTTGTGTATAAATGTTTATATTATATTTATTTTAGATAGTTAAAGCTTTTTAAAAGGGGGATAATGCAAAAATGATGATAAAATTGTAAATGTGAACTTTTGTGTGTGTGTCTGTGTCATACTTTCAGTGGCTTAGACTCCAGGAAAGATAAAATAGTGCTGTCACTATCAGCTAAGAAGATTATAAAACGTCCATGGCTATAGAGTGATCAGTCCCTATAGATAATGCTGATTATTAGAGGAACAGACATTTCGGGGCATGACTAAGATATATTATACTATAATAATAGTTTTAAATACAAAGTATTTTTCTAAATAAAATAGATTCTGGAGTTCTAAACTAAAGTAATACTGATATTTATTGCAAGCACGATCATGAGTAATTAGTTGTCTCAGTCATTTGTTTATGCGATCTAAAAGTGGATCAGGGAGTTCTGAAAAGTTTGAGTGGGTCTTGACAGTTATCTCAGTCTTGTTTATTGTAGATTTACTTCATTTAAGTCAAGCTTAGGTCAGGTGGTAATGATAAACGTATGTATGTACAGTATGTATGTATGTATGTATGTATGTATGTATGTATGTATGTATGTATGTATAGGCTTATAATTGTTGACCTTTGGCACTAGAACCTGAATTTTAAATCTTATGCACATTATACAGCAACAGTTAATTGTTTCCTTCAATAGATAATTCAATTGAAATAACTGTGAATAAAGTCTGCAGTTATTATTCAGTGGCTGCCATAGCTGTCACTTTAGTGAACCACTTGATAAATTGGATCCTGATATTTACAAAATCTATTAAAATATGACCTGTCACATGTTTGTTTATATGTTGACAAGATGATGTACACACTGCAGGTCAAGGGTGAAATGAATTGTTATGGCATGCTTGTCAAGGCATCCTTNAATGCTCTTCAAGGGCTGCCCCATGTAGAGCACGTTGTAGTAGTTTTGTGTAAAGCGTGGGTAGCAGAAAAGGGATTAGCTTACCAGTGTGGAGTGAAAATGTTATGGACTATAAGTCCCTTGCAGTGAGTACCAGTCCTTCCATCCTAAAATGATTTAACTTTATTTAGAACATGTTGCCCCACTCTTCTAGGTCAGATACTGCTATGGACTTTAACCATGATTAGACGTTTAGGAAGAGTGTCTAGTTGCAAAACTGATGATATGATATCATGCCACCTTCATCTATTTCAGGCTTTGTTGCAGTATTGGTTTTTTTAGTACAGAAAGCATTATGGCATAATAGCCTGGCAAGTTCATCCCAGTATAAGTGCTTGGGGTGGGGATGTGTTTTATTCTGTTTCTGCAAGTGATTAAACAAAGGAGCAAATTGAGACTATGGAGTGAGGTATATCCATTATTTCAATTCTCTTTATATAGTTATGGGAGGCAGGAATAGTTTGGGACTTCAGGATTGGTTAATAGCTTAGACAGAGGATTGATTCAACTTCTTTTCAGGTGACCTTTGATTAGCTGATTGATTCATTAGGCTCTGGGATTGTTCTTGACATTCTTGTTTGGTAATGCATCTAGCATATCCACTTTTGCTTTGTCTGGAGAAACTGGGAATGAAAATGGCATTGTCCAGACTTCAACCTCTCAGCTTCTCCTTGTCTCCAAAATGAAATAAGGAGTTGGAATGGGTGAGTGAGAGAAAATGAAATTCACTCAGTCAAGACAAGTTAGTCCATCATTTTTGTGTTACTTTGGGGAAAAATTAGTCACACCAAAGCTGTAATTGATGGAAAGTTGTTCTTACACATCACTGTCTGCAACCAGAAGTACTTTTTGGGAAAAACGATGTGGAACAGATACATTAAACAATTCTTTTGCTATTAAGTGTCCAGTTTTACTAACAACCACAAGGAAGATTAGCTACTGGGTAGGAGAGATATCTAATCACATTAAAAAAAAGTGTGAATGTTTGCAGTTATCGTGGTGATGAAAAAATATCATGACATCACAGACCTTTAAAGCAAAAGAAAGCTGAAATAAAATAATAAGACCATTAAACTTAGTGGTTACTTTATTTACAATAATGACTGAGTTGCCAATCCCAATTGTGGTCACTAAACAAGGAGTACCTATCTTATACTTTCTGATTGCTACAGTATGAGTTTACTGTAAGTACTGTATAGAAGGTTTTAACTACAGAAGTTGAAATTGTTGAAAGGAAGACTTTCTCATCAAACTGAGTTCTCAGGCAATATCTTCATATTGAAGCATACCACCTGGAAAGAAATGGTGCAAGACAGGGGCCAAAGCCATAAATTTATCTAGTATGACCGGAATACTTACAGGAAAAAAATTCAACATATATTAATTAAAACAAAGGGAAGTCAGATTTTTTCCCTCCAACGGGACTATGATATACGTTTGAGTATAAGTATAAGTATAAATCTTTATTATGGTCAAAGACCAGCAATACACATTACTTTTTACAATATGTTAAAAAGCACTGACATTAAGATATAATTAAAAAGTATTGATGTTAAAAGTGGAAAATAACACACATGTTCTCAAATTGTTTGGGTCACTCCCTGGTTTACCTGGGTACAAAGCCAATAAGTATGGGACTAAATACAATGGCCCAGAAATTGTTAGAGCTCTGTCCAAATATTTGGTACAAGATGACAACTATACCTCTGTAACCAATTTTTTTCTTGTGGACATTGCAGCAGCACAAAACTTTGCCACTGCGTACGTGGTAGTCGGGTTTGTGTCCTGGAGGAGGAAGCCTAGATAAAAATTGTCTGCCCTTCCTGGCAATCTCTCTAATAAGGGGAGAATATGTGCAGACCTACAAGATCTGTATAGCTCACAGTGTAATAGAACATGTGAGATATCTTCCACTTCTCCTTTACCACATATACAAACACTTTCTGCTATTGGTGTTCTCTTATACCTGCCCTGGAGGAGTACTGAAGGAAGAATGTTAAATCTGGCTCTGAAGAAAGCTATTCTTTGTTTTGGGAAGATCAAGTCATTTAGATATTTTGTCGATTCCCCCACACCCTGTTTGATTCTGTCCTACTGTGGAGAAGCAACCTATTTAGTTTTTCTTGGAACTCTATGTCCTTCATTTTGTTGATTACTACTTGCGTTGCTTGGTCAAAGCCTAGAGACATTAAGAATACCGGTGAGAGCCCATAAGAGACCAGCTTGTGATCAATTGCCTGTTTCCAAGGGGAGGGAAGTTGTCAGTCAACACTAGTGGAGACAGTCCCTCTGAAAAGTCAGATTTTTTTTTCCCAACGGGACTATGATATATGTTTGAACATTTGAAAAGAAAAATAAGTTGCTACAGAATTTCTGAATTTCTAAGCTGCTAAAATTGATGTAAGTATAAGAATATTTGTAATACTGTTCGTCTGCAGCAAGAAAAATTGTTTTTCAATATATGGCTACTAAATGATTGCCTTTTCTTTTGTTCTATTGTTTAACTGATGCCTAAAATTGGCCTTGTTTCTTATGTAGTTCATATAATTTTCATAGTTCATATAATATCAAAGATGTTTGTAACATATAAAATGACATTTGTCTTTTAAAATTACACATTTTCTGTAAACTTGCTTATTCAATATGTGAATCTATGTAAGATAACTTAGGAATTTTCATCAGTCAACTTTTCATCTCTCTCTCTCTCTCACACACACACACACATACACACAAACACACACACACACACACCAGGGTAAACCCACAAAAAAGCCCACAAAAGCATACATATATTGTATTTCATGTATAGTAGTAGGTGGCTAAATTAAATTTTAGTAACAATATAGGTAATTCTCAGATGATATCCATTTGTTCAATGACTCCTTTCTATCATTGAAAATATTTTTGCTAAATTCATCTTCAGGAATTAATGCTTATGAATGTTCAGTGTAGGGCTACAGATCCCCCCCCCCCAAGTGCCCTGTTTAAATTTGAATTCTCAGTGTTTTGGTTCTTGATATCATTTCTTCAGTTGGATGGTGTGAATGAATGGTGTCATACATTTCTCCCAGGATGGCTTCTTCTCATTTTCTGCCTTATTCTTTAATATTTTGTAACTTGCTTTGGGAAATATGGGAAAGATTTTGGTACAGCAGCAGCAACGACAAAATGTTCAGTGAGTACTGACCCTTGTTCAGCCTTTCCCATTCAGTTTCCATATGTGCCTGCATGTGTGTTTATATGACAGTTCATTATTTAAGTTTACTCTGTCAAAATAGGTTAAATATTCTTTGGGAACTATGGCTGCATCTTTGATGCATGAAAATCATGCTAAATATAGGAAAGACTAACCTGATAAGAAAAGCATGACAGACTGCTAACATGAAAAATATTTTGTCATTTGTTTCCTCTGATTTCTGAGAGCATTAATAAGCTGTGAAATGTTACTGCAATAAATTTCTGAGAGTGGCACATAGCAACAGCAAATATGACTGCAGATGATTCATTCTAATGACTTGACTTCTGACCTGTTTACAGATATATGACCAAGATGGGACACTACAGCACTTTATTGATGGTGGGGAACCCAGTAAGTCAAGTTGGATGAGATATATTCGATGTGCACGGCACTGTGGGGAACAAAATTTAACTGTAGTCCAATACAGGTAAGGTCTACTTCAGTTTATCCGACAAACATTTCAATTTATTTGCAATAGTATTTTGTCAAACAAATGTGCATCAGAAAGCAACAAAAAAAGACCATATGAATAGCATATTTCACTGCAGCAAAAAAAATTATGGCTTTGTAAATGCTCTTACGGGGAAAAGCTGCGCTTACCAGGTTGCATCTAGAGGTAAGTGCTTTTCTTAAATGAGTGTGAGCAAAAAAATTGCAGTAAAATCATGTGATGATTTTCTGTTAATATAAAAACAATCAGTTACCTCAACTGGGGGTGCATAATATCAGTCAGCATAAGGAACCCCAAAAAATGTTAAACACTCATGCTTGCAATCAAGCTGTATCCTGCAAAAATTCCTGATAACTCTATTTGCCATTGTTTAGAAAACAAAAGTGCAAAAATATGATTTGATCCATATAATTGAACTATTCTGCTTTCCTTTTGGAAGAAGAGTTCAGTTTTAAGGCTCCAATCTTAAAAACAAACTATGAACTATGTTGGATTAGAGTGATGCTTTGTTTATTTATAATATGCATACTGTATCCATATTGATGGAAAGTAACCCCTATTAGATTCAGTTGCACTTATTCCCTATAACCTACTCTTGGTCCCTCAGAAACAGCTCTGAACTTAGTTATATGGTCCACTGATCGATCAGAAAATTGTTTAATTCCCTTATAAGGTCATTGGGTTGAGTTCTCACTGCTAATTACACTTAGCTTGCATTTTCCAGAATGATTGTAGAAAAACGGCAAGAAAAATGTATGTGTTAATTATGAGAAATATAAGTCTACAATGCATTTATGTCTGAGTTTTATTATCTGCAAGGGACACCACACTTGGGTCATGGGATAAACAAAATGATCCCTTGAAGTTTCCCTGCGACTTCACTGAGCACCCAACAAAACCAAAATAAATAAAATGGAAGAGAGGGGGGAAAGTCCCACTGTGTTTATTTGTTTGTGGCTTGTTTATCAGACAATACTTCTGGATGTATTTCTTCTGTGCAATTGTGTGAGCCTAATCCATTGTTGGGCAGAAAAGCTTAGCGAACACGGTCATTGCTTTGCATAGTATAGCACATCTTCTTTATGTATCATTCAAATGCATGTAGGCTTGAAAGTTTAGAATTTTACTCACAATAAAAATATCAGTTTCTCTGTGGAAAAACCAGAAAGCTTTGGAGACACACTTTCTCCTAGCACCTGTCCATTTATAATTATCTAGGAAATAAATGACAAATTTGAGAAGTTGTGTTTGGATGTAGAAGTCACATTTGCAAACAAAATAACCTAGTAAATGTGCTACATAGCTATGTGAACTTTCAGTCCTTCAGTCAACAATATTTCCCTTTTTAACTCTGCCCTTTAAAGCAGCATATGTGTGTGTGTGTGTGTGCGTGTGTGTTTTATTTGTGCTGATAAATAAATAAAGGCACAAATAAAACACAAATATAACAAAGGCAACAGTAAAAATATTGGGTTTCTGTCGTGATGGACTCTTGTGNTGATATATACAAAATATTCACTAAATTTGTTTACTTTAAATGCTTGCAAATTTAAAGACAAATGTTTTTCTTACACAACATTTGTTCTTAATATTTTCTTATTAAATATGGTCAGAACAAGTTCAAAACAACTTTATGGCATAGCAAATATCTATTGGGTTGGGAAAGTGATCTAGCAATACAGTAAAAATAGTCTGTAGCAATTTAATATCAATAATATTCTTAAGTATCCATAGAAGGCTGAACTACAAGTTCAACCAGTTTACAGTTTAACATTTTAGCACTCTTGAAATCTACAGCAATAAATAGTCTGTGCATATTTTTTTTTAAATGATTTGGATGAAACGCTTTGCAGCTCACACTGAGCAGAGTACCTCTGCACTATTTATTTTTTAAAAAATCCAATTTTTTCCTGCTTTCTATACAAGCCTGATGTGGCTGCTTTAAGGAATTGCCTCATTAAAGATAATATGCATCTTGTTTTCAGGCTGACTCAGAAGCCTGAAAACAAATTCATCCTTATTTAATGGATAGAAAGGAAGTGCTAAACTGAGGTCATTGGAGCACTTATATTAAAATGTACATCACTGTAATAAATAGATTTTTAAAGTGATGGTAATAATAACATAGCTGGTTGGGGAAATAATGATGGATTGTTCCTTGACCTGTTAGATGATATATAATTCTTGAATTTAGTCCTGGACAGAGGTTTGAATTTGTTTTGGAAAAGGTGATTTGGACAAAGTTCTACATTATATATATTTTTTCATTTCTTTCTCAGTATGTAACTTTGCAGCTGTACATTGCTTTGTCCTAATATTTCAAGTTGTTAGGTCTCCTAATTTGATTCCACAGGTAAGTTTTTCCAATTCTTCAGTCTTAAATGTGTTGCGTAGGGTACAAGACATGGGTTAATGGGCAGCCTCGTTCATTTTTTTTCTCTCTGAGCTACTCTGATTCTCTATTTGCAGTAGCTTCTTGTTTTTTGCAAGTATTTCTCAGAATAATCAGGTCTTCTTTTTGTTATCTTACCACATTCCACATTCTGGCATTATCTATACAATCTAAGATGTTGCTCTAATCAACATCACAACCCAAATTACTTATTATATGCTATTATTCTGTCCATTGTACACCTCAAATCAGTCATTCAACTTTGGATGCTTCTGCCTACTTGTAAGACATTTGTCCTTCCACCTCCTTGCCTTTTTGGAAGATCTTCTGCAAGACACCCATGTGAAGAACGAGTGAAATCATTCAATTATTGTTAATTTTTCTTGCATTTCCTGACTTTAGTATAGGTTTATTCAACAATATTTTCCAGTCTCTCCACCACATATTGTTCCAAATTTGTTGACACAGAGCTGTTATCACTTTTACTGCTTGTTCTGATGAAGCTTTAAACAGTTCAGTGGATATTTAATCTGTCTCTGGTGCAACCAATTTGACAGCTGATTTATTGTCTGTTGAATCTCAGTTTCTAGTGGAGTCAGTTCCTGAACATAATCTCTTTCTCCAAACATTTCTGTATTCTGTAATCCCATCTGTAAAGAGTTTGGGTATAACATTGCCATTTTTCCTTATTCTCATTTGTATCTATGAAATATCTCCCATGATTACTACAATATGGAATATTCCTAGCTTAACCATAAATTTTCTTTGATTTCTCTGTAATTGTTTTTTTCAATTGACAATGTTGTGAATTTGTTTACAGTGTATACATCCACAGACATACATACTATATGTGTGCTTGTGTGTTCGTGTTTGTATGTGTGTGTGTAGCATTATAGAGAAGCACTATATCTGTCTGTTCACATATTCCAAAAATGCCACTTTTGCATCACTTCATTCTTGCATTGTGAATGTCAAGTTTTCATGCTTCTACATTCTAATTGTAAATATTCTTGTAAATAGAATATATCCTCTTTCAAAACTGTACCATTAGTGATCAGACTTTTTACTCACTAGTCATGTTTTGCCATTGCTTTACTAAAGCTACTGAATCCCTCACGTAGTCAAGAGGCTAATCTACTGGGTTTACGGAAACCTGCAATCACTCATCTTTATATGTTAACATTGGTAACATTATCTTAACAAGAACAGGTTAGCATTATTGTCTTAACTTGTGCATATTCATAGTTTGACCTCCAGAAGTTGAATATGACTTTGAAAACCAGTTGAAATACTGATAAACCAAGTTAATAGCTTTTATAGGTAGGTGCTGGTTAAATTTTAAAATGTACATTTGGATANATTCTATTCTATTCTATTCTATTCTATTCTACTTCACAGCTAATTTGGCAATTGCTATATTAGCTTCTTTGTTTTGTTTTGTCAAAAATGCATATACTTTTAAGTTCACAAAAATCATTTTTACAGTTGAATAAGAGAATAAGATGAATAAAAGTAGCTTCACAATTCAGAAAACTTTCATGAATGCAATGGTCATCATGCCTTTAATTTTTACAACTTAAACATGAAAGTAAATAATAGGAAATTAAAGGAAAACAACTTGCCAATTTCGGCCACTAAACATTTTCTATTAGAAGAAAGTTTTCAATATAATATTATTAGTAAAAGTAGGTTGTGAGTCCCTTCATGAAGAGTTCATCCTGCATGTTCATAGAAACATGGACTTGTCTATGAGTAATTCCTTCCATAGGGAAGAGAGGTCGAACAGTTTTATCCTGTGGCTGGATTGTTTTAGTTCTTGGGGGGCTCTGAGGTGTTTAGTTTTTAGTTCGCTGAAGTTTTAATGTCAGCTTTTCTATTTTTTTTGTTCACTGTGTTCAGACCGCTGCTTTGATAGATTACAAATAATTTAATCCATAGCAAAACTAAAATGGAAATTAATACATTGTTGTCATAAATACTACACCATTTACAACTGTTGAAGCACAATGGAGAGGTTGTGGGAGATGGCAGTGCACCATGTGCCACATCAGGTATGGTGCTAGTGTTATGCAACCAACTCCTCCTTCCATACCTGTCACTCAAGTTGCCTAAACAAGAATGTAGATGGTGTGCTTGTAATCAAGGTATTTTCTGATCTACTAGGACAATTGTGAACATATGTTGTCCTTATGCAGAGTTCTTTGTCACATCTGATATACTCTTAGAGGAAAGAGAGAAAGAGAGATGAATGATGTCATACTTCTGCTTGCTCTTTCCAAGAAGAGAGTAGAAGGCTGGTCCTAGTCAGCAGATAGAGTTGATTGCATAGGAGCACCATTCCCCCAAAATTCACTGGCTTAAACTGAGCATATTTGCAAGCAAAAATACACATTCTCAATCAAACTCCAGCCATGGGAAACCATTAAACATCTGTCAATATTAAACAGATCTTATAGCTCCCTGTTCATTCTGTAATTGTTGCTTAGAGTTTTCTCTCTTGATCTGTTTTCCATTGCTTTTAAAAAACAGTTTTAAAAAAAACCCTGGCATCTATCACCAGGGACTACATCCAAGTGTAAAGAAA